ATCTGAAAATAGTCTCAGTTTGGCTTAATTGCAAGACCTGCAAGACCAGCAGGGTTTGGTCTTGGTCTTGCGCAAGACTAGCTGGGTCTGGTCTCGGTCTTGGTCGTGCAATAATTTTTGTGGTCTTGGTCTTGGTCTTGATCTTGCAAAACTGCAAGACCAAAACAAATTTTGGGCAACACTACTTAAAACACACTCAATTTTCCAACTGTGTCCTATCTTCCCATTCAAGGTGTCATTCGATTCAACTTCCCGAGCCTAACCAATGTCATCGTATACATTTTTAGTATTAACCAAACGGATTCGACGGAAATCGGAAAAAAATTCCTCCTTCTCCTCCCAAAAAAAGATTCTCAAATTTTAACTATACACCCGTCAACGATGAGTTCATCAGCTAGAATAAAATATAAACGCATGCTGCCCAATTATATTGGGTTGCTATACACACAGCATATTCGTTAATCCGTAAGACAATAAATAAACTTATATATAAATATACAGAAGTGGTTAGTTTATATGAGTATATATATATATATGTGTGTGTGTGTGTGCGTGTGTGTGTGTGTGTGTATGTGTGTATGTGTGTATGTATATATGTATATATATTGTCTCTCGATACATATATACATGTATGTATTTTTTTATATATTAAATGTCCTAAAAATATCAAGACCAAATCCAACTATTTTTATATACATTTCAGCCTGCAATTTTCAGATAATACAAACTAATGTTGAAATCTTGATACCTTTATAATTCTGGAAAGGCTAAAGTAAGTAGGAAACCAATGACAGATGTTGAGCTGTCCTTTGAAAACCACTAAACCTTTAAATTTCAGATCGGTATTATTTTAAATAAATCACATCAGATATAAAATTCTTTATTTTCGTATATATATATATATATATATATATAACCATTAAAGTTCTATACATTATAAAAACTTCATAAGCGTATTAAATTTAAAAATATAAGAAACTAACATTCTTTTGTATTTGAAATATATAAACGACACAAGACTACCAATGAATATATAATTTTCTGTTGTTTAATCAAACTATTTTATACATGGCTAGTATTTGAATTTTCTTGATAGACAAGAAAAACAAGGTAAAAGACAATCCTGAAAACTCCTGACAGTAAAAATATAAATTGTTACAGTTCGCTATTGAAACTCGAAATATTCCGTTTGAATCCAAAATTTAACCAGAATAATTTATAGTGGATGGTTAATGATCTTTTTTGGGTTGGTTGAGAATTAACTTAACAAAAACCGAAACGAATACATTTTGAATACGGTTTAACAGCTTTTGTTATTTCCTTGCAGTATTACTTTCGACCCGATGAAGCACGTAATATAATTGATGCATTGCGTCAATATCTCTCGGCTGGATGGATGGATGGATGGATGGAGTGGTGTGGACAGAAACACAAACTGTAGTGAATTTTAAATAGGATTTGAGTTCAAAATTACAAAAAAACAGACAGAATGTTGCCATTACAGGATGTTAAAGTTAAGGGATTGGAACGAGATGTTCAAGAGCCATAAAATGATACTCATGATACGCCACAAAAAGATAAAACAAGCAAAAACTTGTTAGAGCACCAATGATGGTGCATCTGCACCCCGTTAAGGGGCAATTAGCGCAAGTGTTTTATAGATTTTCCATGAACGCCAGAGCATATAAACATTGATTTTTGTGAGCGCTGATTTTGAAGACAGAATGGACTTTAGCTAGTGCTTGTTCCATATATATATGTATTGTTGCATTATATTTATATTGTTGCATAATACAATATAAATATAATCCGTTTGGGTAAATATATAAAGAGACGATAACATATGTCTCTTTGGTGCTTCAGCCCGAAAGCCCCCCTTCTTCTTTAAATCCGCCCGTGAAGTCCGTTGTTTCAGTGTAGTTTAATATGGAATCGCGAATAAAGAGTACTTATGTGTTAGTCGATAGTTGATTGTAGTAAGTTGGTACGTAAAGTTTTGTTATTAACCGATCGGGGAGTACTGTTATTGATCTTAAAACTTTGGATTGAAATTATTGTAGTTTTGTAAGAGCGTCTTTATTTTCAGAACCTTGATTAATATTTTTAATGGACGAACTTATACTTAGCGGAACATTCTCGAAATTACTGGACATGGACAAGGTGTAGTACAATATGACAGACGGCAGGGAATCATTTGACCTGTTCACCATAACAACCCATTCTGTGTTAAATATTATTCCTAATTTCGTATAATAATAATTAAAACCTGGCGCACAGTGGGACCGATAGCTGATCTAGAAGGACAAAATTCATTGAGCATAAGTTTCGATTGGAAATCACGTATTGGTCACAAATAAAACTTTTATAGTCTTAATTAAGTCAACATAACTTAAATTTATGTCTAAACTTTATTTTTTAAGAAAATTATAATTAAAAATCATAATTCCTAAAAATCCATAAGAAACTAACAATAATATTGATAAAAAGACCAGTATAAATAAAAACCAGTATGGAACAATTCAAATTTATTTAATCTATTTTCTCTACCTTATAATCCAGGGATGACCAGAAGGGGTTTTCATGGTGTAAGTTAAGCCATCAAAATTTATGAGGAGGCACTTTTTGACGGGGTTTTCAACTTGAGGGAAGCACATTTCGATGGTGTTATGAATTTTTAAAATGAAAAGTTTCAATTTAAAGGACAAGTAGGAGTATGGAACAGGTCGCAGTAGATATAATTGTATATAATCTACGAATATTTAAATTCTAATTTCGTTGGAGTTGTTTTTAAGAACAAGTGATGAATAAAGTATGTTGGGAGAGGTGGGGGAAGGTTTATGCGCCATCGGGCTTGGTGGAGAGGGGGGGAGGTGGACACCCCTATTATAATTAGACAGCTTACTCTGGCTATTTGTTCTCTTCAAAAATCCATAACCCCGTAAAAATGTGAAAATGCACCATGCACACCCCTTCTGGGTACCCTTACTATACTGTATCCTTTACTTTCCGCTCATTAGTTTTTCGAAGCAAACAAAAAACATTATTTGGCTTCCCTGTTCCCTCGAAAATACTGCTAGTTGTTATTAGGTATTATCAATTGTCTTCAGTTATGACAAATTTCTTAAAAAAAAAAAAATTATTTTCAGAGCATTTTTCCGAAGCTCATTTATTTTTTATGCAAATAGGGCTATATTGTCTTTCAAACCTGTATACATTTTAATACACAATTCATAACGTTATCATAAGAATAAAAAAAAATTAATAGCAGAACTTTATTTTACATTTTCTGAAATAATTAAAAACAACTGTGCTTAGCGCAAAAGGCGTATTTCATAGACTATATAAGTATTTATGTATTTAAAAGAATTTATCTAAGCCAGTTTTTAAATCCCATTGTAACCAACATCAAATTGGCTGAACTTAAATTAATCGAGTGAGTAAAGAATGATAATTAATTGAATTATCAAAAGCAGTCTTAAGCAATAACGCACACCGGCTTGGATTTAGACTTTCTTTTTTTAAGGAAGGAGATGGTCGGGAGTAGCGGTCATAAATAGACTAATTATTGGCGAAATTATTTTACCAGCCAACGTTTCGACCCGGCTTTGAAGGTCTTCTTCAGGGAAATGCGATCAGCAAGGAGCTTCACTTAGAACTGAACTTGTTTTTTTTTTTCTTGTTCTTCCCTACCTCGCCTTTTAGGCTATACGGGATTTTCCCGGGCCGGAGGGTAATTTAAAATCCTCTAAGGCACCGAGACACGAAACCATACTTTTTTTTAATCTCATAACTTCGGTTATCTGGTTGGCAACTCGCGTGCTGTGCGTACACGCGTTAGCCCATTCAGCCACCCAGCCCCCAAACAAATAATCTGAATACATCAGTTTCCAACCACGAATCTTTACCGTAGAGGTAACTATAACCACTAGATCATTCAAGTCATATCTTGATTTAGAGTATAAATAAAGTAATGCTGGAACTATTAGTCAACTGGTGGGACTGAAGGCCTGCTGCCCTAAACCTCCCTCCAGAGGTGCCCTCTCCCCCCCCCCCCACGTCGATGGTGCAAGAACCTTCCCTCTTCCCTTTTCCAGATATTTTATTTCTCTCCTCTTTTTAATAACAATGCAAACAAAAGTCAAATTTAAAAGATCGTAGATCATATACAATTACAATTCCCTGTTTTTCTGTTATCCTTAGTGTGAAACTTTCCATTCCAAAAATTCTTGACCCTGCCTAAATGTGTCTCCCTCAAAAATTTAATATCCCATCGAAATGTGCATCCCTCAAAAATTTTGATGGCCCAAGTAGTGCCATGCAACAAGTGCCCTTTCTGGCCACCCTTATCTCCCCCTTCATACTCTACTATGAGAGTTCATTGAACTTTGAAATTTTACTAGGCCATTTCTTAGGTTACCAACTATCTATAAAAAGGATGACATATTATATTTTTCATTTTTTGAAAGTTGTTTTGTTCTCCTAGATAGGTGGTTACTATGAGAGGTATCGTTTTTACAACTAATGATAACTATAAGAATTAGCCCCAATTATCGTTCGTAGATGAATATGGCAATTATTATAGTTTTTATCATTTTATGATAATTAATTATGTATTCTGGATAGCTAAAGAGTTGAGTATCACGTTTTAATTCCAGCAGTTATATATTCTACCATTGTTTTAAATACCTTTCTATGAGAAATGTATTATTTACTACAAAATTCTTGTAACTGACTCCATTACATTTTTAACTGAATGTTATGATTATGGCAAAAAGTTCTACAAATTTCTACAAAATCTAATTATTTACAACATATCTATTATTTTATTTTAAATTAATTACTGGCTAATTAGTGCTGTATTATATACAAGAAAAGGGCAGTGATAATATGAAGATCACAGAATCAAATTTTGGCCCATAATCCCCAGTAGGATTGGTTACATCCAGAAATTGTACCAATTGTAGAGGTTTTAATAAAAAATAATAAATTTCAAGAAGAAGTCAACTGGTTCCTTCAAGATTTTTGCTCCTAGCATTTCTTTCAAGTTCCTTCATCTCACATATTGTATCCAACATTGGAGTGTCTCTGGTCTCTGGTATAAACATCAACAAGAATGCACCTAGGAGTGCAAGAGACCCAGTAATAGCAGTGGGAAGCCACCAAGCCTTCCTTCCCTGTAAAATATAACAATTCATTAAACACAAATTAACATATAAAGGAAAAAGGTTCATTTGTTGAAGTGACAGGAAGATCACTTTGGGGCTGTCTATTTACTCAAAGGAGAAAACAGGCAATAACAATGAAGGTATATCATCACTGAAGGTACCAAAGATTTTTTTATCAAAAATTATAGATACAAGAATAGGGAGAATTTTCAAATATCCAATCATATAAGAACAATCAAAACCTGATTTTAAATTTTAAGTATGTGATCAAAAGTCCTATGGAATGATCTTTTTTCCCTATCTCCTTCATATATCATCGTATAGGAGTAGGATGAATTAATCTCATAACTTCGGTTATCTGGTTGGCGACTCGCGTGCTGTGCGTACACGAGTTAGCCCATTCTGCCACCCAGCCCCCAAACAAATAATCTGAATATATCAGCTGAGCATCATGTACAGAAGATCATGTACAGCTGAGCAGATGAGAATGATTGGTGTTTGATGATAAAGATAATTACACATGAACAACATATATATTATGTATGCTTACCAATATGTCGACTATATATGGTGCTAGTAGAGGCCCAAATTGTGCCACTGTAAGGCAGCTACCAAAGGCAGTATTACGATTTTCTGTTGGAAATAGTTCTAAGGTATTAAACATTATTATACCATATGCAGCTGCTGCCACAAGCCTTCCAATTAGAGACACACATATGATTGGCCAACCTGATAATACAGAAAGTATTTATTTTGTTTGACTAAAAAAAATAAAAATGTACCTATAAAATCTTTTTGTTTCTAACATGTATAAAGATGGATGTTGATCAATCCCTTTGAAATCACCCAGACCATGTTGCTCAACATTTTTTATTTATATAATTTTTTGATTAGTTATTCCATGTTTATTTGTGAGATCAAAACGATTGTTAAAAAATTATAAGGATCGCAGTTTTTCCCAGCAGCCATTTTTAATTTGCTTTTCGACTGAAAACATGTTTTGGGAAAATCTTTGTAATTCTGTAAAATGTTTATAGTTGTCAATTTTTTTAACAACTTTTCTCACTACTTAGTGGATGTATCGTAAGGACGAAAAATTTAGAGCAAAAAATTATCATAATTTTAGTTTTTGGATTGTTTTGATATCTGCAAAAATGCCTGAGTAAAGGTAGGTAGGATATGTTGATACTAGTTCTCATTAAACAGCAATATTTGCTGCGCTATAGCTAATAAAACCAGTTGAATTTCAGTGATCTAATTCCTATCACACGTTTCTATCATAAAGAGGTAAAAACTGTATCAATTTCATAACTTTTCAGTCAGCCCCTTTTGCGATGTTCAACATAAAAATTGCAGAAAATGACTTTTGGCTGTTTTTGAAAATTCATATTTACGAAAGCACAAAGTTTTCAAGATTGAAATTTTATGAACATGCAGTACACTGGCAGAACCATCGAACAAAAAACAAAAAAAAAGATCAAATGTGTTTTTTTCATGATCACACTTTTAAAGTGCTTAGTCTCATTTTTTCTTATTATTTTTCATTATTTTTTTTAGCCATTTTTCTTTCTTTTTAGATGATACATTGATAAACAAAATTAAGAAAAATAATCATCATTATTTTATTTTTTAATTTGATTTGATGTCTACAAAATTACTAGAATTACAGACATTTCCCCAAAACATGTTTTCAGTAAATTAAGTTTAAAAGCAAATTAAAAATGGCCACTGAGAAACAATTGTGAACCTTATCATTTTTAAAAAATGGTTTTTTACTCTCAAATAAATGTATGTCAAGCAACATGTGTCTGGGTAATTTCAAATGGATTGATCCTACATCAAATTAGACTATTACTGAGTTTTTTATTTTGAGCATCAATATTCTATGGAATAGTACTCTTACAAAGTATGTTATTAAAACTAATAATATTTTAAAAAAGGAATATTACCCTCTGGTAAGACAACTATTACTAACATAGCAATTCCAGCTACAGTACACAATACTATTGAGGAACTCTTCCTACCAAAGTGAGTAAGTAAGAGGAGAGGAAGCAAGTAGCCTGGCACTTCTGCGGATCCATTCAACCCCACATATAGATACTGATTGACTTTAAAGTTTATTCCACCGAAATCTATAAATAAAATAAGGTAGTAGAAATAGTTATTATCCAATAAATGTTAAAACAATAGAATAATCTTTATGAATAAGTTATTTTTTATCATTCATGGTATTATTAAAGATTTAATCACTTTATCAGTGGTAAACAACAAAATCTGGTCAATCTTCTTTTAAGTTACTTATTAATCTCATTTTTACCACCATGTCAACAGGAGAATATTTTTGAGCGTATTCCTTTTTTTTTTTTTTTGTATTAACAATTTATTTTTATTTATTATTAAAGAAGACAAAAATATTTCATATTTAAGGGTTGTAGCAGTTCAGTGAACTAGGTGTTCAATAATGTATCATATAATAGATGAGATAAATAAGAGGAAGAAGAACCCTAGATTTTTATTATTATATATTTTTCAAGAGGTATGAGTTTATGCTGACAGTTTTACCAAATAAATCTCGTTATGTTTCCTAACTAACTTAAATGAATTATTTCAGTTACTGAATAAGACTTTAAATAATAATATAAGAAGCCTTCACTTTTACTTGAACACCTTTTTTTATTTCAAGAGTCTATTTTTAGTTATTTTTTTGATATCTCATATACAACTCAAGTATATATTAATTTTTTAAATCTAGATATATACTTTCTTTCTTTTACAAGAAGCAATTGCTATATTATGAAAGTATTTTGCATTTTTTAAAATATGAATTGGTCACCATGTTTCAATAGAAAAATAAATATTCAATGGAAAAAGAATTAATTAAAGTAAAATAAGGGTTTTGTAAAGCTACTAGTTCATAGGCGCTAACACATGGGAAATATTGGGAGAGAGAGCCAAAATTATTCCAACATAATTGACTATTATAGAACTTTATTACTTGGATTATAGAATTAAATAAAATGCCATAAAGGAGTAGCTATGAAGGGGTAACTCAATCATCAGTTTATTGTATGTTATTTTACAGTCTAATTACATCCAGGTGGAAATAAAACATGAGATACCTCAAAAGATATTACATGAAAAAATGTATCCCATAAAGAAAAGTGGGAAGTATTTGGTTGGATTGATGAATTGTGTGTCAGCCGATGTGAGATCCATCCTGGGTGTTCTTCACTATTATGTTAGAGTTTTCAATTAAAAGCTTTTGTCTGTTTTTATAGTTTACTAATTATGCACCCAAGAGTACAAAATGCAAATGATGAAACTAATCACAAGACCAACTTAATTTATACATGAAACACAGGGAAACCACAAATGCCTACAATATAATACATTTCACTTTAAGAAATTTCATCAACACATTGGAGGACAGAAACAACCAACTGAGATGACTGAAAGACCTAATTGCGAGAGGCCCTGACTGTAAAATTTGTAATGCCATGTAGAAAAAAGATTTGTCAGGTCAATTTTTCTAGTAAATAAATGAAGATCTTATGCTTGTGGTCATCTCTATCAAGGAAAAATTTCTAACTTCTCCAAGAAAATTGAATCCTTTCAACATGACTCTTGCCATAAGAAATCTAGCTATTCCACACATTATATAATTCATATATCAAAATAAATGTGTATTCGGCTGCTGTAAAAAGAACTACATTGTTGTCCTTGATGTCATCCAATTTTTTTTTTTTTTTTTTTTGACCTTCATCTTTTTTAATAACATTTAATTCTATACCTTCTAGCTGAGAAAAAAAAAAAACCCTGACTCTAGATAGTGTTTAACCTGATTTCTTATCTAGTTAAACCCTATTCTTTTTTATTTATTTATGATATTTACAACTGTATTAATATAAATACATCAAGTGAATGTGTACACAGAAATATCACATGAAAAAGCTTGTTGAAAAACTACCTTCTTGTTTTTGCATTCTAATAATATGTCTACAAAAGGAGATCATGCGGCCATCTTCAAACTCTATTCTTAAAACCACTTTTAGAAAATTAATAATTTTTGAAGTTAATTCAAGTATTAAACCTGATTTTAGAAGGCCAGTGCTGATGGTAGCATGAAAACCAAAATATAATAATAAAAAAAAATTCCAATGGTTTTATAAATCTCATAAAACCTAAACATATAGCACCCATGTCAAACGGGTCCTTTGTGAGGCAAAATATCCTGTACCTGAACATAATTTGATATAATGGACTGAAGGTAAGTATATTTAACAGGTCATTGTGTTGGGCTTCAAGGTTACAACTTTTAGGGATCATCCAGTTTAAGTTTGATAAGAATGTTTAGCTTATCAGGTGAATGAAATTACCCAGGTTCCTCATGGTGTTCAGTGAATCTCAGCTTTCCTGTATTAATCTGACTATGATCTGAGATATGGAGATTCAATGACTAGACTGATTTTGTTACTATTACTTGGTTTTTTGAACTAGTTCAAGGTCGAAAAGATTATTTGTTTGTTGAATTTACAATAATCTGCTCATTTTCAGTTGTTACAAATCTACTGATCACCACAGACTGACAAGATAAAGTAATAATAATGCAAATAAAAATAGGAAAATGAATGTGTGTGAAAAATTGTGAAAAGATGCCAGAAAATGCACCTTTTCATTTCCTTCTATGCACTCTTGCCATCTATGAACAAGTTATAAAATTTTGGTTACACTGATTCATTACTACAAAAATATAACAATGAAGCTAAAAGATACTTACTCATTACAAAATAATATAAATTTCCCATAAACCACAAGTAATTAAATATTATAGTTCTTTTGGCAAGTTCAAATGTAGAGAAAAGTTTGAAGTAATCATTTAAAAGAAAAAATACATTTTTGAAGTATGATTCAGACTTGCGCTAAAAACAAACCAAATAAAAAATTAATAAAATGACATGATCACAGTTATTGTTAAATGTATAATTTAAATTAGAAGAGAGATTAGGAGAACCTTCACGACTAAATCGGGAGATTGATCAGGGTCATTAGGAACTAAATGCCATACGCTTCCAATGATATTCGATGCTTTTTCTAATTTTCCGGCAGTTATCAACCACCTTGGAGATTCTGGTAAGAACCTACATAAAAAAAAAAGTGGTGATGTTTAAAAAATATATATAGCATAAGAATTGGAAAATTTGAAAAAATTGTTAATGACGAAATAGGTTAACAGAAGTTTTAAAAAAATTCATAAACAATTTGTTATAAAAGAGACTGAGATGTTATAACCATGTTAAAATAATGAAAGAAGAAGGACTAGGTTGGAGGAGAGGGTGGCCATGTACCAGGAGAAGAGGTATGGCAGGCCAATGATTAACGTAACAATATACAAGGAGGTCTGGAGGAGTAGACTGAGGGAAACTTCAATTTCTGAAGAAAATCCCATTAAATATATATTGTAGTAGATAGTCCCCAGTATTTACTCCTTTAGTTGACATTGGGTGAGGGAATGAGAAGGAATATATAGGAATGTGAGGTTGCACTGTGAATTGTACTCAATTGTGCAGTGGACATGGAAAAGTCTCATATCAATAAACAATCGATGAAGAAGGATGCTGGAAAAAGGTCAGAGCAGGTAGCTAGTAACAGCTGGCAGAAGGACGCCCAGAACAGCACTTGAGGCCTGGACACGAAGACGAGAAGAGGTCATAGGAAGAGAGGCTTACTACATTGAAGACTAAGAATATCAAGCCTACAGTTATATGACTTTTATACATTAATTTATTACAGTTGTCAAAATAAATTGTTTTATTATACAGGAGGGAAAAGTCATTTTATTTAGTTGTCCTATAGGCCTCACAATTGAAGAATAACAATCCAGGTGAGTCAATTCATTTAAAGTGTATTTACTAAGTCCCACAGTTCATATATATATTATTATTGTTTCTTCTCACCTTATGTCACATAAGGTATTAGATTCCCGAATTCCCAACAACAGTTAAAAACCCTCAAAAAGTCTATATTCAGTGCCGGTGTTTCGTTTTAATATTCACGAGTGTAAATAATCTAGTTCCCTGATGAAAGCGGAAGGCTATTCGCCAAATTCCTGCCAAAAACAATTATTTACATTTAATTTCAGTAGGTTATTTACAATATATTTAATTTGCTGTAATTTTTTTTTGTCAGGTGGGCAATAGTTGGTAAAAGAAAAGATACAAGAATTCAATACAAAATTCAATAAACAATTACAGGATATTGTGACATATCATTAGTTATTGATATGATTTAAGTAATGTTTGGAATCATAACAATTAAAGATACAATGTTAGCCAAAAAACATATTATGAATAAAAATTTGGAAATGAGGTTACCTAAAATATCCATTTATCCAAATCATACAACACAGTGGCAAACCTATACCATTAGGGAACCAAGATTTATTTTTTAGGTTCCCCTAAAACCAAAGCCAAAATCCTTTAGTATGGGGCTCCTTCAATAAGTACTTGGGCTGATTTTTTTTTAGTGCTCCTACAATTATTTTTTATTTTAATTTTTCAAGACCATGGAATCTATCAGCATGGTTTACTTGACATTTTTTTTGTATTAGTGTATACTTTACTTTTTTTATCTGTTGCTTCAAAAATATCCATAAAAATACCAATCCCCTCTTTCCATTAGTAATTATAACAGTCTTCCATTTTTTTTTTCACATATTTTGCATTATATGTATAGACAGATATACTTTGGCTATTTAGTAAAGGCTGTCCTTGCTTTATTCATGTTACCCAACTCTTTCACAACTCAAGATTTATCATTCAAGTGTTTCAATAAAAAAACAATTTCAAAATATTAGAAAAATTTATATAAACTGTGTTCTCTTCTTTTACTGTATTAACCTTTGACAAGATAAGGTTTATTTAATATGTCATTTTGATATTTTATATAATATACTTATTTAAAAATAATAATAAAAAAATTACCAGCAATGGACAACAAGCATAATCATTGGGAGCGAGATTGCTAATTGTAGTTGTCTCCAGTTGTTAGTCAAATATGCACTTAGTGAGAGTTGCACAATTCCAATTGAAAAAGCGACATTGAATATGTTTGCTAAATTAACTCTATACTTCTTGACTGTAAGTTCCATTACTGCAAAATAAATGATTAGTTGTAGCGAAATTGATCAAATCTGATGAAAATCTACATTTAATAATTACATTTGTGCACATCTTCCAATAATTTGAATTAGGTCATATTGTTAATAGCTTGATTATTTAGAATTAATTATAATTCATAATTTTATTGATTCTCAGATTAAGGACAATTTTTTTAAATTCTTTAAAAATTTTGGACAACATTTAAAAGAAATTGGAGAAATAAAGAGCTTTTTGACTGCTTGGCTTCAACTTCTTTATAAAGTGGCCAGAAAAAGGTATTGATTCATAAATGCATTAGCTGACACTAAAAAAAATAATAAAAACAATCCTTTTCTACATATTTTTTTAAATTTAAACCTTTAAGTATAACTTCAGTACCACTATTATTTATTATATTTTTAAAAATTGCTTAACAATAAATACATCTCTCTAATATATATATACATCGTCCACGTCGGAATGAATTGCAAAATCCTTGGATATGCAGATGATATAGCTGTCCTTGGAAGTAATCAAGAAGACATTGAGAAACTCGCCTCAATTCTGATAAGAGAGGGAGAGCAGATCGGCCTACAAATAAATTAAGACAAAACAAAATATAAGATTTTAGTTACCATGTAATATTTTATATATCAATTCTAACGAATTAAAATGTTGGGATAAAGATTGAATTTTTCTTTTTCTGCTTATACAGGATATTGGAACTACTTATAGCAAATACAAAAATAATCAAAGCAAGAAAGAGATTCAGGAAATGATATCATAGGATTGATGTTCGCAAGATGAAAATGGAAAACAAACAAGTAGAATATATATCACTGCTTGAAAATCTCCTCCAAGAAGTAAACGGGGAGAGTACGCCGGATAACGTCTGGAATGAAATTTAGAACTGCATACTCAATACAGCAAGTGAAGTATGTGGACAACAAAAAATAAGGCCCCATACCAAGAAAACAAAATGGTGGAACGATGATGTCAAAATAAGTGTCAAGCTCAAGAAGGAGTCCTGTAAAACTTATAATAGAACTAAATTACCTATTCATTGGATTGAATATTTCAGAAACCGAAATGGGACTAAAAGAATAATTTAGCTAAGACGAGGACTTGGGAGAAATTTGGTCAAGAGCTTGAACAAAACTATAGAGAAAATATCAGGAAGTGCTGGCATATTACAAAAGCCTTGAAGGGTAAGAGGTAAAAACCAATCAAGAACATTAAAGACATGCATGGGATGTTGGTGAAAAATAATTCTATCAGAAGAAAAGAGAGTGCTGGAGGTCTGGAGGCAGTTCTTCCAGAAAAAAAACTAGGATGGAAGAACGTCTTCATCATAACTACAGAGACTGCATAAGAAAAGGTAGAGTGGATGACACTTGTTCTGAAGATATGGGCGATTCGATTGGGGAAGACGAGGTGAAGTTGGCAGTCAACAAAATCTAGCTAGGAAAAGCTCCAGGACCAGATGGTATAGCTCCAGAATTTATAAAATATGGAGGCAATGAAATGATTAAATGCTTTCAAATGCTGCTCAAAAGTTTTTGGACCTTAAGTTGCTGCCAGGAGAATGGGAAAACATCATAATCCCAATTCACGAGAAAGGTAACCAAAGCAAATGTGATAACTATAGGCCAATATGCCTATCCGTAGTATTGTACAAAAATACATTAGGATATTAGAGCAGTGACTGCGTGGTATTGTGGAACAAGATATTGAAGAAAAGCAAGTGGCTTTCAGACATGGAAGACAGATCCAAGACCACATTTTCCCCTTGAGAATGATAGAGAAAGTGTGGACAGTCTACTTGGCATTCCTGGTTCTGAGGGCGGCTTTTGAATCAGTCAAGAGGCAGCAGATATGGGACACACTAATAAAAAAAAGAGTGCCAGCAAACTTGGTGATTGCAATTAAATCAGTGTATCAATACTGAAAGGGCATTGTAAGACTTGATGGTCAGACATTGCCATTGACATTGACTTTCCACTTTTATAAGGGAGTAAAGTAGAGAGACAGCCTAAGCCCACTACTATCTGTCCTCCTTATGGATGTGATATGGAAGATGTGCAAAAGAAGGTGCCCAAGAGCAGAAGCAGGTTTTTGGAACCTAACTCCAGTACTGGCTCAAGCAATGATATATGAAGATAATATCGTGCTGATGCTGGCTCTGAAGAGGCTCTTCAGGCATCCTTGGATGAATGGAATGAGTAAATGAAGATAAGAGGTTTACAAATAAACACTAACAAAAGCAAAATCTTGTGTGTGGGAAGTAAAAACACAGAGCCTAGGATTTTGTGTAATGGTGAACCCTTAGAACTTAAAAATACTTATCCGTATCAAGAGATTTCCCAAATACCATACTAAGTAAAGATGGTAAAATAGACCAAGGTTCTAAATCGAGTGAAGAAGGCCAATGGAGTGTACCATCAGATTTCCAAAACTATTATAGGCGAGCAAGAAGTAAGTAGAGCTGCCAAAATATGTATATTTAAATACGTGTTTCTTCCAATTCTCCTATATGAATCAGAAAGCTGTACAGCCCTTAACAAGCACGTAAGTCGGATAACACTGCAGAAATGAGATTCCTGTGAAGAAGAGTTGGTAAGACTAGGAGGGACTGCATAAGAAATAAAAGAATTTGGGAGGATCTGAATATTAAATCAGTGCGCGACACCATGCAAGAGCAGCAACTAAAATGGTATCGACACATCTGTAGAATGGACGATAACAGAAAAGCCAGGTAGTTTTTGGAAGCTAGGCTGGAAGGAAGACAGACATGGCAGACCCAGGTGTATGTACTCTGATTTCATTGAAAAACTGGGAGTAGCAAGAGGACGCATCATCCCAGAGATGAGAAGACTATTTAAGGACAGACACTAGTTGGCTAGATGGTCTGAGACTGTAACTTCAAGCTTGACAGCACACAGGAGTTAGAGGAAGAAGAATTCTCTCTGTTATGTAAAAAAGTTTTTAGTGACCAAGTAATATTTTATTTTTCAATCTCAATAAATTAAAATGTTGGGATAAAGATTGAGTTTTTCTTTTTCTGCTTATACACTACATTGAAAAAATAATAAAATCTGAACTACACAATACATTTAAATTACTGTTATGCAATGTTAGCAACGAGTAGTACAATTAAATGAGCAGTTGTATAATTTTTAAAATTGAGGTTGGTCCACCATTATATTGACAGAGGTTACCTGCCCTAGTATATTTCAAATAAATATTTAAGTATAATATAAGAATTTCGATGCAGAAAAAGTTTTTGTACATATATATATTATTTCATAATTTACTTATTATTTTAGTCCAAACTTTTAAATTAATATTTTAAATGCTGTCCTTTTTTTTTTTTTTTTTTTTAGTACCATTGTAAGTCATTTGGGCATTAATGGGGCCATGTTCAAATTCAATTGGGGTGGTATATTCCCTCATTCTTCCAACAATTTAGTTTTAAGATATTTTACTGATATTATATTTTTATTACTGAACTTTGAGTCAACACAAATCCATAAATTTCCAATGAGATTTAAATCTGGACTCTTGAATAGATTTAACAGCTATTCTCATGTTTGGAGAGCATAAGCCTATTAGTAATTATTCTGGTAAAATTTGAATGTTCATTCAATACCAATTTTTGCCATTATCAGTCCTTAAATTTCTTTTTAATTAATCTAAATTTATACTTCTTCATTACTTTATCAATATAAACCAAAGGCCCACCTCCAAAATAGACAAATGTACCCTCAAAAGAATACTGCAGCCTCAACCTTTTATTGTTGCTCACAAATTTGTAAGCTAAAATTCCTTTCAAACTTTCCTCCACATTATCAATACTAAATTTGTTCTTATTTAGTAACAAAGAAATTACACCATTGCAGGAACTTGTTGGATTTTTTATAAGTTATTTGGCAAAGGCAAACCTTTTTTTCTTAATCATTTTATTCATTTTGGTTTTAAATTCATATTGTTTTCATACTCTAAGAATTGTATCTGGCCCAGCTTGTTTTCCTGATTGTTCTAATTTATTCCTGGTCTTATTTTCATAGTCTATTAGAACTAGTGCAGTAAAAATGAGTGTAGAATGAGCATTCAAATTTTACCAGGATGGTAACTCTTTTGCCCAAGCTCTCCACACATGTTAATGGCTAATATATAATAATCCAAATGAAAAGGATACTCCTCTCCAGTATCAAAATTTGATTTCTGTCGATCATTTTGGGCATATTTCGATTCACAGCAGGGAAATCAAAATATAACATTACTAAAATATCATAAAATTTTATTGTTTGAAGAATGGTAGAAAAAACCCTTCTAATTGACTTCAAAGTTGATCCAATAAATACTAAAATCATATTGAAAAATGAAGTATATATTTAAAATATTAATTTACAATTTTGAGTAAAATAAATGAATTACTGTATAATAGAATGTATAACCTGATATATAAGTTATATATATAAATATTTACTGCATTAAAATTCTTATTTTATACTTTAATTTGTATTAAAAATATAGGTATTTATTGTTAGGCATATAGTTTGTAGAAATTTGATAAGAGTGGTATCGAAGTTATAATTAGGAGTCTAAATAAAATATATATGTAGGAAAGAATTGTTGTTTTTCTAATCTCCTATCACTCCATGTATGAAAACTTTTACTAGTTACTGTAGTTGTTTCTTTCTGATTTCATATTTTTCTTTTCTTTTTAATTTTAAAAAGATAAAAGAGGAATGAATTGTTTCATTGATGTTAAATAGAGAAGTAAAAGTTTTTCAAATTATTACCCAATCGTTTATTGTTCTCAAAGAGTTATAAATTCAATATGCACAGTCCATCCCCACAAATGACTTCCTACCACATACAGAAACATAGGTGCTCAGAAGGGGATTTCATGGCACAAGTTGCGCCATCAAAATTTTTTTTTGGGAGGGGCATATTTTTACACGTTTTTGAATTTTTCATGGTGGCAAATTTTGATGGGATTATGAATTTTCGAACTAAGGGACAAGGGAAAACATAGGACAGACCACAGCAAGTGTAATTGCAAATGATCTACGATTTTTCTAATTCTACCTTAGCTTGCTCTGTTTTTAAGAAAAGGTAAGCAATCAAATATCTTGGGAGGAAGGGGGTGAAGAGATCCTGGACCATCGATCGTGAGGGGGGATGAGACAGAAACATTGGTTTGCCAAAATTAGATTGTTTTGATTTCTTTTAAAGCTGTATAAATAGAATCTTCAATGACTCTACGGGTAAATTTATAGATTCCAGATATAGCAAAACCAAATAATGGAGATTGAATTTCCATGTGAACAAAGAATCTAAAAATTCAATCATAGCTTTATAACAAATGGTCCGATTAAAATGATTTTTTTTTTTACTTTGTAGGATAAAATCGTATGTTAAAAAACAAATACTTACCAAAGGAACATATACAGAATGTTAATCGAATATTCCCGTAAAATGAGAATCACACATTCGGTAAATCATCCCTATTTTCTTAATCTTATTTTCTTGCATGTTGTTACAACTACTTACATATTGTATAAGCAGTTTCATAGAGTCCAGATGCAGCCATACCTATCATCAGTCGAAATGTTATAAACAATATATAGCTATGCACAAAAGCAGCAGATGGGCTAGCTACTAGAAATAGTACACATGAAACTATGAATGACTTCTTTCTTCCATACCTAAATAATAAATTATTTTTATAATTAATAATAACATTATTATCTACTTAAAATTAACTTCCATTTGATTCTAGAAGAAGAATTTTCACTTGGATAATTGCATTGGAAAAAAATGGCACAAATTTGGGATGTATTTGAATTCAAGCGATAGATAATTTTAATAAGATATCACTTTTTAAATAAAAAAAAGGATTATATTTAGCTAAAAACTTATAATAACAGTGCCTCTGTTGAGTACTAGGCATTTAGCCTGTGTCCAATGTGGAGTGTGAAGCTGCTAGACAAGGTACTGTCACAGTGTTTCTCAGCTATAATTTATTAATCTGCATATATAAAAGCTAATATAATACATTTTACAATGAATATTTTTATTCAGAGAAGACAGGATAACAGAAAAAACGGAAAGATATTTCTCTGGTGGAAATTCTGTGATAGAAATATTATCCTAAGTTATCTTATACATTATTAAAATGATTAACTACGCTGACTAGAATTATAGTGATACGCTGAAACATGTAAAAGCAGTATCAATTACTATAAATATATCGATTTCCAATCAAAGTCTAATATTGGGTTGGCAAATAAGTCCTTTCAGTTTTTATTTTTATTTTAATGTCACTATGATATAATTCTTATCTGATGTCAACACCTATGTCTGTTAACTCTTGTTGAAACTAGCATAGTACTGTGTTTTCTATTGCACTGTGAATATGGAAGAAAATAACATTTATTATTGGTATATTTTGTTGTGCTATTTTAAAAAAAGGTAAGTGTGCTACAGAAGGTCATAGACAAATTTGCATAGCTTATGGGAATGACGCCTTAATACCTATCAAAATTGATTTGGCAAATTTCATTCAGTAAATTTTGACGTCAATAATGCTCTACAGTCTGGTTGCCCACATAAAATTGAAACAAGCAATGTTAAGGCCATTGTTGATCAAAATCCTACTCAATCAGTGCGAGAGATTGCTATGGCTCTAAATGTGTCATACACAAAGGTAGAAAACCATTTGCATAAGCTCGGCTATTTCTCCAGGCTTAATGTTTGGTTCCCTCACTCTCTAATCGAAGTTAACTTGGCAACAAGCATTTCTGTTTGCGATTCATGGAAACGGCAACAAAACGATCCATTTTTGAAAAGGCTGTTAACAGGAGATAAAAAATGGAAATTATACAATAATGTAGTCCGTATAAAATCTTGGGCACCTAGTAGTGAGAAGAATGTCAAAACCCGGATTGCATCAAAAGAAGATAATGCTTTCCATATGGTAGGATTTCAAGGATGTTATTTTCTATGAGCTATTACCATCAGGACAAACGATTGACTCAACTCTGCTCACAATTAACAAAATTGGATCAATCAATTAAAAATAAACTCTCAGAACTGGTGAATCAGAAGGGTGTTGTGTTCCACCAAGTCAACGCTAGGCCACACACCTTATCGGCCACTCACAATAAATTATTGAGCCTTGGATGGGACTTTTTGCCACATCCTCCCTATTCACCAAGTGAATAGAGAGGGTGGGGCTCCCTCTAGCTCCAAGTGACTACCACTTATTCCTGTCTTTGCATGACTCCATGAATAGAAAGAAATTCCAAAAGGAAGAGGACATCACAAACTACTTGGATCAGTTGTTTAACAATAAACTGCAGACATTCTATGAACATGGCAATATATAGTTAGTGTAAAGGTGAGAAAAATTCATATTAAATAATATAAATTTGACACCAATTGATTAGAAAAATATTAATACCTGTCGCTAAGGATACCGAAGAACAAAGCCCCAATAATTTTTCCAACTGCAACACTGCCCTGTGCAGTTGATCTGAGAGGCAAGTCATCGCAAACTAGATCCCACTAACGATAAAAATAAAATAAATTAATAAAAAAAAATTCTAGAGACATTTATAGCTAGATCATGGCATTTTTATACAGACCTCACTGACTATTGTCTGATGAAATGAATCTTCGTCATAAATATAACTTTTACATTTTAGTACATCTGGCTTTTGACTTTCATTGGAATATCTAAGAGCTTCATCGAAATCCAAATCCTTCAATAAAGAATAATTCCAGGCATAATGAACACAACTTTGTTTTTCCAATCTACATGTTTATAATAATATACTTCATAAATTGTAATGATGAAATACAGAAAGAGCGAAGGTTCACAAATAAAAAAAAAAAAAAATCAACTATAACTTACCCTGGACTACTGATCTTCCTTATTTGTTCCTTTGTCCAGTTCGCTTCAACTAGTTCTGGGATATTGCAAAAGAAAGAAGGATTTCCTCCAAGAAACACATATGAAGTTAAATGGGATCCAATAACTGTTGAAGGACTAGCAGTAAGAAATAGTATCCAAAGAAGCCAATAGTGATTTTTACATTTTTTTTCTAAAGCTTTTTCTATCTTTGCTGGATCCATTTCAGAGCAGTTTATTGAAAATGAACATGAACGATTACCTATAAGTGAAATACAGAAAACAGTTGTATTAATAATGATAATGATCAATTAAACTTGAGTTATAATAATTTTACTTTCTAAAACGCTACCTTATGATTGACTATTGATATGATACATTTTGCCTAAATTAGTTATTATTATTTATGTTTTGAAATGGAGTCTATTGTATCCTGTAAGTGTTTTTAGATAGCAGTCTTTTTGGATATGGAAATTTTTAAATCACTATAATATCAATTCCCATATTTAATAAGCTCAATTTTTTAAATTGGAATGAAATTACTATTATTATTAAATTTAATCAATGTTTCCTTATATATTTAACAATGAAATTTTTAAGTAAACAATTACTGTCATAGAATAGTTAATTATATATATATAAAATAGTTGATGGTTTATGACTATTGTTTTTTTTTTTTTTTTTTGAATGTTTGAAAATGGCTTGAAGAGTCGAAAAATTATAATATAAAGAAAGTGAAAGTTCTCATTAAAACCATTTTTTACTAATGAATTAAGACTGTGGGATTAATGAGGTCTTTTTAAAAAACATTATTCGTATATTGATTTAGCAAGAAATTAAATTGATATTCCACAAAATAATGAAAAGCCAAAATAATGTTGTTTATCATTAATATTATTATTATCAGGGACATGATTAGCATAGAATTTTAGTTCTGAGTATTATTGTTAAAAAATATTTCAGATTGAAAAAGCGGTGAGAAAACCAGCATTCTTCATTTTTTCCTGATTTTGAATAAAAATTATTTAACTTTTTTTTTTCTTTTTAGTTTAACATAATTTTATTGGAAAAAATAAGGTATAATATTTAATGAAGAAAGGTTATAAAAGAAAGGTTAATGATTTTTTGGGGTAGGAATTAACAAAAAGTTCAATCAAACCTTGAGACATAAATACATTAGAAAACAAAAATATTTGAGATAAGAGTTCTAGAAATATTAAACCTGGATTTTAACTCATTAAATGGCTAATACACTTGTAATAACGTCTTCGGAGTACATATTTTTAACACACACTTGTCATTTAAGTCTTAACACTCACTAACTCATTTAGGAATTATATATATATATATATATATATATATATATACAATTTTATTTGTCCGTAAATATTATTCAAAGATTAGTAGTTAATACTCTACAGAGTGCAAATAACACAAACATAATCAATGTATCATGTCCGCACTGTTTAGCATTATTGTAGATCTTAATTAAAAAATAAAGCAGTGTGTTCTTTTTCTTTGTCCAGTAGTATATTTTACAATTTTCTCGGAATAGCTCTAACTCATTTTGATTAAACTGCTAATATCGATGTAAAATGAACTGTCCATTAAGATTATGTAAGTGCCAGACTCATTGAATCTTTTTATACAAGGCTTGAATGCTAAATATCCTAAAGTTATTCCTCTGAAGTACCTTTAATTTTGTATATTATAAATAATTGAAGTTCTATGAATGTTAATAGTAATAAACATATGAACTATGAAGTATTTTGAAAATTAAATATAAGGAAAACCAAAAAAACAATTTTTCTATAAACCAAAAAAAAAAAAAAGTGCAAAGAAGCACTACAATTAATATTTTTGAGGTATATTAATTTATTGTAATATTAATTTGGAATTGAAATGAAACGAAAGTTACTTATCCATTCAGTATGTATTGCAAGAGACTTTTTCAAGTAAACTTCTTGTTCAATATATACAAGGTTCAACTGTAATTATATAAATAATTTTTACAAAAAATCAGATAAATAAGATTAAAAAAAAAATCCCAATCAATATTGTAAGTTGTTTAGGCCTTGTATAAAATCTTCTGGGTGGATTGTGAGGTCAAGCAATTATGGATATACAGTGGGGACAAGAAGTATTTGCACACCCAGTTTTTATTTAACTATCGTTCATAAGGAAAACAATAATCCACTGAACTTTACATTAATAAAAAGCATATTTACATCTTTAAAAAATCTGCAATGCATACTGAATGGATAAATAACTTGCATTACATTAATTACAATAATGGGGACATGATACATTGATAATGTTTGTGTTTGATTTGAAACTTTGTAGAGGATTAACCAGTATTCTTTGAATAATATATATGGACAAATAAAACTGCATACATATATAATTCCTAATGAGTTCGTGAGTGTTAAGATTTAAATGAGAAGTGTGTTTTAAAAATATATACTCAGAAGACTTTATTACAAGTGAAGTAGCCATTTAATGTATTAAAATTGAGGTTTAATTTTTCTACAACTCCTATCTCAAATATTTATGTTTGTTAATTGTATTTATGTCTAAAGGTTTGATTGAACTCTTTGTTAATTCCTTCCTTGAAAAATCCATCAACTTTTCTTTATATTAATTCTTGAATGAGTCAATGTGAGTTAATATTTCATGTTGAGAACCTGTACTCCAAAGAAATTATTAAAAGAGCAAAATGTAATGTCAGTCGGTAAATTAGCTATTGTGAAGCTGGAAGAAAATATGAAATTACTTTTTGGTGCGTACAAAAATTATATAGAACATATTATGGGTGAGCAAGAATGAAATGAGGTAAGATGAATCTTATAAATAACGTGCGCTGGTGAGGATAAAACGGAAAATTCGAAGACGAAGTGCACTAGGAGAGTTACACAGATATACGATTACAGAGATATTTGGGATTTTTTTTTTTTTTAAATAAACAGAAGAAATTTGGGATTTGAAATTTCGACCCGTAGCATGAGTAGGAAATGTAGCGAAATTGAGTATTGGTAAAAAAAAAAAATAATAAAACCATTCGTTGAAATGGTTCAATAAGCGTAAATGATCGTCCTAAACATCAAAATTGAGGGGGGGGGGAGTTGATGGTTGGGAAGAAATAACTGGATCTGAAAATTACATTTTGTTGCAAGTCCACCAGCGAATGAACAGTGAGTGATATGTAAAACTTATCACCGAATACGTACCATGGTTTGAACGTGTTTTTCCGAGTGGAGAATTAATTAATTAATTTTAACATAACGATGCCCCTAGCTATGCATCTCGATACACTAAAGTACTCTTACTAAACTTTGCTGTGACTAAAATTTTGCTTTAAAATCCCAGTTATATCGTATACCTACCTTAAATACGTAATTGCTGTTTCGTACACTGTTCTCTTACACATCCAGCTGTTTACGAGTCTTGGCTAAATGAATTAAAAGAACCTTGGGACATGTTTTACGTTGAAAATTCAGATTCGGAATTTCCCACGATAGCAACGTTTTTTCTTATAGCTCATTACATCTTTGGAGCTGGCATTAAAATTTCGATCAATGGAAATATTGAACTTTTTTTATCCTTGGCACAATATTATAATTTTTTAGGGTACTATGAAAGTTCATTTATTAAATTGAAACACCATTTTATTGAACTTTAAGGTTTTAAATCTTTTTTGGCCACATTTAAAACTTTCAAACGGTTTAATCACCAAATTACGGCGGTAGCACAATGTTGATACTTCACTGCAACTTTATATTTTTTCAACTCTTCTTTTACAATACCTCTTGCAATAAATTATAATTTTTATTCGTAGTTGATAATTTTCGTTTCAGAGGCATGACCACAACGAGAAAGAAAAACAAAAATTGTTACTGTTTTTCAGGAAAGAGATTCAGAGAGAATTTTAAATTTATTATCCGTGTTTTTATGTCTTCTCTCACAAAAGTACAATAAAATTGTATTAACTTCATCAAAATGAAACAAACCCTTTTATGTATCAAACATATTATAATATAAAGTTTTGATTTCTCTAAGGGGAAAAAACATTAACGTATTTGATGATTTAGTTTTCTAAAATATATTAAGGGGGAAATTCCAATCTCGTTTGCTGTTCATGGACCTTACATTCGATATTTGCAATTTTTTTTTCAACTTGATAAAAAAAATTGATGGTATTATTTCGTAGATTTTTTTTTCAAAGGATTAGAGTGGTAACTTTGTAGTCAATCTACAATCAACCACAAGTAAAAATATCTCAATATAAATCGAGAAAACCTAACAATACGTTTCAGAGCCCCCTGAGCTCGAAAAAACAAATCTTTTAGCCTGTTTTGAATGGTATTGATATTCCCTAACTACTATTTAACTATTTAAAAATCGTTCATTTTGAACAACTATTAACGAAGTTACAGCTATTCCATTTCCAATGTAAGATTACGGGTTCAAATCCTGGTGTCTGAAATGGGCGAATAAGAGAAAAAAGGTGACTAAGTGAAAGTAAGAAAATCTGTTGCCAGCATCACACAAGCTTCACTATTTCCTCTATTTTTAACAGAAATTATTGTTTGACAAAATTAAGCTATGACAAAAAGTTTTTGATCAGAAATATTAGAGGGTATTGAATTTTTTACACTGATCTACCTTAAGCCGGTTTGCATAGCTTTAGTTTATCAAATATATCGTACTCAAATCTTTTCTTTGATCAATTTTCAGGAAAATAAATCTTATTTAATTTATTTTTTGTTTCTTGATGAACTTATGTAAAGAAATAAAAACTTTTCTGAAATAGGTAGAAAAGTCGTGTGAGTGGACACACCAGATTTTTTAATATATTTTCACTAAAGATATTGTATATATTATTTAATATTGATTTATGTAGTTTTAGGCCAGATGTGGTTTCTGTCTTTTGTTCATAATTATTATTCATAAGGGACCTTGTCCCAGATTAAAGTTTATTTTATATTCTGTATGGATGTTTGTAAGAACTCTCATTAACGCGCTGCTAATCCGCGTCAAATTTAATTTTAACAATCAGTGTTGAATTTAGAGACAGTTACCTACAACCTTTGGTTTTTATTTAAGAAAACCTTAAATATAAATTTAAAAAAATAATTTTTAATGAATGCTTAATTTTTAAATGATGTATAAATTATACACATTTCTTATACACAAAAGATTTATTAAAATTCTTTATGAGTGAATA